GTATTTCTGCTCACTACCTTGAGGGCATATTACAAGACCCTTCTTCCTATTCATCTTTCAAACAGATGTATAAAAACATACAGAAATACACAGATGATTATTAAAACAGAGACTAAAAGAATAAAGCTGTAGGGACTAGCAAACAGTGAGGACCATGCTAGGCAAATCTAATTTCCTTGCAGAGATATTGGGTATTTGAATAACAGTTTTCACAGCAAATGCTAATGCACCTGGCAGGCCATGTATCTGGTTAAACTATACACTTATTTGCAGTCGGGGTGCAGACATTGTGCAACCTAAAGTTCACTTAAGTTTTAAGCATGCACAGATAGTCTCCACTGACAGAACAAAACATCAGAATTGGCACAACAGGGATTTTATGCTTGAATATGACACTGGTTCCATTTGCTCAGTTTGTACAGTCAGTTAACCTGATCAAGGAGTTATATGTGGTCTAAATAGACAGTCCCCACCCCTACACCTTTGCAACACATTCCCACAGCTTCTTTTGCACTGGAATTTGCATTTGTCAAAAACCTGCAAGGAACTGGTTTGGGAATCTCAACCTGCAGAAAAATATCACTAACATCCCCAAAACAGATCAAAACTACCACCATCCTCCAAAAATCATTCTTTCTGGCTCCTTATGGAGTCATACAAACACGGCTGCCACGGGAGAGCTGCGGGGGACGGGGGCCACCAGCAGCCCCAGCTGCCCGGGCTGCAGCGTCAACGCTGTCCTGGTGCTGCTCTGCTTCTCGTCACAGCCAAGCTACAGACATGATGATGTTAAAGGAAGCCCAAATGTTTTAACCGTCTAATGGGTTGATGTTTTCTACAAAGATATTTCCAGCCCGCTGTTACAAGTCTGTTCTAAGAATTCAGCAGTTATATATATAAAAAAAAGCATCTCCTCTCTTCTTTGAAAATCTGCATGTGGTATCTGCTATCAGAATAACAATGCAGCTCCGCTCCTCTTCACTTGTTTTGCAAACCAATGAACTTATTTGCAAAGGAAATGGTAAAAAAAAAAAAAAAGTTCATTTTATATTGGGGAAAAAAAAGACTCAACTAAACTTTCATGTCCTTTGACTAAATCTTGTTTGAACAGCTTGCATGTATCACAATCTTACTGTTATTGCTTACTCTACAGAATTAGAGAGCAGCAAGATAAATATAATACTGTGATACACAGCTTGATATGGAAAGCGATCACCCTGCTATACATGCCCCACACTCCAGTTCTAATGCAGTGATACGGTTATCTAAGGGTGAAGGAGATGGAGCAGCCTACAATATATTGACACACTTTTCATTTCAGAGATAGGGTCACCAGCTGAAGAACAACTCAGATTCACCGTGCTACTTTGGTTATTTCCTCTCCAGTATCAGGTATTTTCTGTACTCCGATCTACACATGAGATTTCTGAGAGCAATAACACATTTGCCCAGAGCATTCAGAGCTGTGTGAACACAGGCAAAAGCTGGAGTCAAGATTTAGTGAGAAAAGCCAAGAGAAGATTTTTTTCTGTAGTTTCAAGTATTAACATTATAAAAGACAACATGCAGCAACTCCTATTTTTAAGTTTCTCAAAGGAGCCTTGGGAGCATTTCTAACAAACCCACTGCCTGTGAAGGCATTTGACATTGAGAGAGGAGACTGCTCTCTGGCTGCAGAAGTGCCTTTGCATTTAGCCAAGTCTACAAGGAAAGCTTCACTGGCACAGCAAGCACTGTTAGACACACAGAGCCAGGGCTTTTGATTCTTTTTATTTTTCATTTATTTTATTTTTGAATGACCTAGCTTCAGCATTGATGCCTCACTGCAGATTCAGCTACCCCTCAACAAATAATGTCTTTTTTTGCCTGTATGGCAAATCGCTCTGCTGATAAAAATAAACAACCATTTTCTAAACGGTACTGTTTTAACCCTTGTGCAAGAGCAAAATCTTCTCCTCATGAAAAAACAGAGCAATATGTGGGTAAGTGTGATAAGAGAAGCAGAAATGCCTATTTCAACTTCCCTGTACTCCCTTGCCTAGGCAGAGCTATATAAGAGGGAAGAAAAGGGAGGTAGAAAACCCATTTCCAAAGGGATTGAAAGGATTCCTAGAGAGAAAGAGGACAATTAACATGCACACAGAAAGGTTCCTCTGTTAGAATTATTAACTTCTTTTTTTGTATTAGGTCACCAGAAGTGTCTTTACAAGGAGCATTAAAAAAATAAGCAGTTCTATAAAGTTAAAACCCACACGGAGCAGCTCCCTCCTGCCTGGCACACCTGCTAATCCCACCGGTCCTGCTAAAGTGAGGAGGGGAATACAAGAAAGGAACAGCGATGGGGAGCATGCACAGACACCCTTGCAAAGTGGCACTTTTCGTTTCTGCTGGTAACAAAAGTATGAGGACGCTGGTGACTAACACAACTCCCTACTCCTTGGCTGGCTTTGGAAACCCTCTCCACAAGGGTGAAGGTTGGGACAAGGTTAGCATCTTAATAAAACAGGGAGTCTGGCATCTCTAATGATTGCTTCTGGCTCTTTTCCTCCTTACCTATAATAATTTCCCTGTGAATGTTCTGCTTTCTTAAAGCCAAGCAGAACTCGTGCTTGCAGGTGCTTGACCTGCCCAAGGCCACCTCCTTCATGCAGATCATGGGCAAAGTGAAGCAGACCCAACAGAGGAGCTTCATGCTCAACACTGCTGCTTATGGGCTGTCTTTGTACAGAAGTACTCCACACACAGAATAATTCTGCCAGCATACAATTACATACTACCTTAGATAACCCACTATTTATTTTAATATTACCCACCTGAGAGAGACTCAGCTAATGAATCTATTTTTGTAGAAATGTAAAGGTTGAAGTTGAGAGCTAAGTTTGGAGCAGAAATATATATTAAAAAAATTAAACCTGGAAATACTTTAATGAAAGCAGGGAGTAATCACAGCAAATTACAGTGAAATTTCTATGGGATTACATTTTGCATTCCCAAGCAACCAAAAGGATTCATCACAGTTAATGTCACTCCATTTTGCTGAGAATTCACTATAAGGATAAGTTATATAAGTAACACAGTGTGATAAGGTAAAAGCTGTCTTAAAAGTTATATTCTAAGAGGCTTTTCAAAATGGAGTTCAGATTTCTTCCCACTGCAGTCCATGGAAAAACAAGGTATGCCACAAAAAAAATCAGAGAGGAAATTATAATACTGAGAGGAGTATAAGCCACATGTTTTATTTTGTCTCTATTGATAAGAAGGTTCATTACCCCCAAGTTGGTCTTCTAACCTCTGGAAGATAGAAATCAACCAGCAGTGCATGTGGCAAGAAGGTTCCCTCCAGAAGAAGAAAACCACTGTTCCAGTTCCAAAAATTGCCATAGATTTCCCTTCTCTGCTCTGGATAATGCTGTGCTGAGGGGAGCATCTCGGCAAGGCCCTGTGACTAGCACCTAGCCAGGCTCCTCCAACACCTCCTCTCAGCAGCGTGTGAGTTACCCTGGTATTCTTGCATCGAGAATTCCCAGCCTGCCTTCTAGCAACTGAATAAACAATTTAATATAGGTTTTTACCATATGTAGTGATTTTCTGTGCTTTTAACCAGATCTCCAAAATAAGAAGAAGCTGGGAACTTCTGACATCACTCCACTGCCAGTGCAGAGCTCTGGATGGTGAGCTCAGCAAGGAAAACATGTTGACTTTTCAGTTAGTGTCACGGTGAATCTCTCGAGGCTAATTCTTGATGACAGCTTTTCTAAGTACCCTGGAACGTGCACAGATCCACAGCTTGGCCTTATTAAAGGCAAGACAAGTTTTAACACTAAATTCAACAGGATCATGAACTGGTCCAAACTGAACAGCATGAAGCAAAAAGCATGAAGCATCTCGGCCCATAAGGCAAAAATAATGGGGTGAAGAAGTGTGAGAACTGCAGGTTATATAGTATCTGCCATGAGGGGAGGAGGTTAAGGGCGCATCCCACTCCAGATGAAGAAACACTACTAAACACTACTCTAAACATTATGAAAATAGCATAGTTTTTAAACAACAAAGTATATTTCTATAAAAACTTTCACCGAAAAGAATCAATTCAGCATTAACTACAAAAAATACTGTAAGAAAAAAGAAAAAAAAGCTATTTTGTGCAGCAGCATCTTATCACACATCAGCTTTCACCAATTTTTGAACAGTGTTCACTTCCATTTCTTACTTAACTGTCCTATGTGCAGCTGTGCTGCTAAGGAACTAGAACCTGTTGCCACGTCTCTGCTTTCACCCTGCTACAAAGCATTGCCGATCACGTGTTTCATAATAAAACAGAGGAAATGCATAAAAAAGCAGCATGCCATGTGTCCTCTTAAGATGATGTTCATTTATGAAGCATAAAGTATGAATGTGATCTGCTCCAGAGTATTAACTCTTTCAGAAGAGACTTTTGAGGCAGAAAATGCCAGTTATATGCAGCTTTTCAAAAGGTTATGGAAATACATGTGAAAGAGAAAGCAAGATGAAGAAACCTCTTGCTTCCAGTCGAACACTGCTAAAATAGGCTCAGTTTTTTGAAACTCTAACAATGCAAGATGGGGGAAAAGCTGCAACCACATTTCAGCAGGTGAACCTGCCTTCTAGGAGGATGCCCAGCATTGAATTTAACCAGCCTCATGCACCAGCGTGCACCCAGCTCTTGCGGGCAGATGCAGCAGAGTGGTGGAGCACAGACCAAGCAACTGGTTCCTGTGCGGAGCAGGAGGCTGGAGCCAGTTTTTGTGACACCTGACAGATCAGAGGACTTTTGAGCTCCCAGGAAAGTCTTTGGTAATCGGCCTACAGAAGCAAAGACTCAGGGCATCTTCCAGTTAATACTTGGCACATTAAGAGAGAGGTTGTCATGAAAGTTAAATCAAAAAGCAGAATATCATTAATCCTCTACATTTCAGCCAAGGCTGAATTCCGGCACAGAGAGACAGAGTTCGGAAAGGAAAACAAGAATGTTTAGTTACCTTTTCTGCAAGCCAGCCTAGGTGCCTAATCTCTCGACTTCCAGCAACTCCTGTCTTACCCAGCTGGTCTCTGACCTCTGCAATCACCCTGGGGATGAGATCATTGACACTGGAGTGGATGGCATTGAACCAGGCCTGGGCTGTAGCCGAATCCTTACTCCTTAGAATCACGGTGTGCTTGGCGTCAGGTGAATGAACTTCAATAAGTCTAGAAAAATGGGGGGGGAAAAACATTATGTTCACTCTAGAAACTCAAATACTGTTAGATGGATAAACTTATTACCTAGCTTACTGTTAAAAAGCAGGATACTAGTAGCAGGAAGAGCTACCACTAAAAACTTACCTTTAGAGTGGTGGAATATAATGGAATCCAACTGATTATACCTGTACTGATGCTACCATAACATACTGATTGTTAAAAAGGGGATTTGCCCATGCCAATCCAACCCAGAATGCCAACCAGAATTCCAAATAGAAAGGCGAAAGTAATTAATCTGTTGCTTTAAAAGGCACATTGTTGTTTTTCCCTGGGGCTGTCCCTGCTCAGCAGTTCCTCAGGCTTTGGACTCTGACATGACAACCAAGGAATGGTGGCTGTGGACAAGCTGGGCACAAGCAGCTGCCGCCTTTAGCTCTACATCGAGGCACCACAGGAGTTTCTCAATGTGCTTATTTCATAAATACAGAGCTAAATGAAAAGGCCCTAATCCTAAATAGAGAAGTATCTTGGGATTCCACTGTGGGTTCTGTGACACCACTAAAAATGAACCAAAAACCCAACTTAATTGGTCTTCTCCATGAGTTACAAACAACCTGAACGCTCCATTGAGATCCTCAGTGGATTGAGATCCTTCATCTTGCTGCCTTAAGAGTGGCAGCAAGAATGTGCTAACCACAACCATATGATTGCTGTTGGCAGGCATCTTTTATGGTTTTCTTAATTCATGCAAATATAGATGTTTTTTTCCCAAAAAATCATGCTTACTAGACCGTCCCATGGGCTTTCACCCCACAAGTGCAATTTCAAAGGCACAGATGAATATAGAGCTTTCAGGAAAAACCCTGTATGTAGTGTAGTCATACTGTGACTTCCACCCAGCACTACCCACACAAATTCAGTGTGAGATTTGAGACCAACCACACACTCGTGTATGACTGCGTGATCCCTGGGACACACAATGACCCTTTTCTGTATCAGAGGAGTAATTAGTACAGTGGAATTTGTTCACATTGAGGTTCAAGACAATATTGTAACACAAATATTAGTTATATAATCTCAAAATACTGCAATTTGGAGCTTAATTAACAATTAAAAGTTTTTAATTAATTGACTGAAGGAGGCAGAACCCAGAAGAGAATCCGTCACAATCTGCGCAATACTCCAGGGTGAGCAGAATTAGGACCATTGGTCTTTTGTTTGTCCATCTTGGGAAGGGGCCATCTACACATAGACACTGCTCTAAAAATAGAAAAGGTCACGATTTTCCAAATTAAGCAGCTGAACAGTCCAGGTCCTAAATCACTGTTTAGATAGCTGAAAAAGTGGGTTGATTTTTCAGAAAGTGCTGAGCTAACACAATAGCTCGTGTGTCCTCAGTGCCACTCCTGGAACTCGGCACTCTTGGAAAATAAAGGCGCTTATTTAGCTATTCCAGTAGGCACTGAGCTTTCAACTTCAGGTACTGAAAAAACAATTGCGGTCACACAAAGCAGATCTGGTGATTATGCAAATCCTGTTTGTAGATATGTGCTTTCTTCACCATATTCTTACTTTTTTTTTTTTTTTTTTCTTTTTAACCACAAGAAAAACCTGTCTCCGGAGCAGTTACAGTTTAGCTATTTGTGACCAATGATCATAACGATCCCACAACCTTTTTCTTCTTTTCATCAGAAATTCCTGGTCTCTCAATGCCACACAAACTGGAACTTGTACTCAGAAAACCATGGAAACAAATTGGATTTGGATTTTAAAAGTACATTGTAGTAATTAGGGAAATGTTACTACTTAAGCAACACTTTTTGTAATGAGATCTCAGAGCATTTTACAAAGAGAGTTCAGTCACAGCATTCCCTGCTTTTCCCACTGGAAAAACACCCAGAGAGGTGATGAGATTTGTGCATAACCCAGATGAGGCTGGGAGCAAGTCAGGAATATCACTCACTACTTCCTGCACTCTGCTGCCCATTTTAATACTTCTTTTATAGTGAAAAAATAAGAAAATGGCCAGCAGGCAGTATTGTGTCATTTTTCCAAAAGGTTTTGGAATTGGATTTGGAGAAACAACGGTTTGAATTGAGCTTGTGATTTCTCTAAGAGAACTCCCACCTCCACGTCACTGCGTGTCATGCCATAAACAAAGCACTGAGCACGTATCACAAATACACCCCTGAAAAAGTGCTGCTTCTTGAGTTACATGGGAGCAGCAGTGAGCCCATGTCATTTCTTTTTAAGTCAGTAGTTGCAGCAAGTTTTGATTTAAAAATAAACTATCTACGGCTGAAAGTCCTTCCAGATGGCAACCTGCTTCCCTACAAGCTGGAATTAGCACTGGAGTAACACTTAAGTTCTATTTAAAGCAAGTGGGTAAACAGTCAAAAAAATCATTTGCTAGCTTGGCCCTCATCAGTATGTATTTCCCTTGGTGATGGCTATTTCAGTTATGCCTACAGTAGTTCTGGCCTCTAAAATAATAAGGCTTTAGATATTTTTTTAAAAAAACTTTTTTTTTTAACTGACTCAAAATTATGGAGTCTGATAACATATAACATACACCAATGTATGCATTCCACTGTGATATCAGTATATATATTTTTCTATGTATACACACACCACACATGCACAGTGCCTTGCTTGCAGAAATATTCTTAAAAAACTATCTCTAAATTTGATGGAGATCACTGGAAAAAGACTGCCTCGTCCCTTAGCTGAATGACAGGAAGATTGGGCAATAAAAGCTCTATTTTACAAAAGAGAATTCAAAACTAGAATAAATGTTGCACTGGTAGCAAGAAAACTGAGCTCTGCTGGCCACAGCACTGGTCCAGCCTTGGAAATGAGTCTGCAAGTCTCAGACTTGTGCAGGGTGCCAAGCAGGATACCCTCCTTATTCGTACAGTATGAACCCGAGCTTAAATCCTTAATTGCCTAGGTTTTGCCATTGACCTCTACAAGATCTGAGCACTAAACTATCTTTAAGGACCTGGCTTTACAGATTTCTGCTGAAGATCTAGGACTGCTATCACTGCAGTCACCTGAGACAGAGCTGCCAAGGGAAAATTCCCCTGGAAACTTCCTGGATACCCCTGGGTTCCTACTGCAATCAGATGCTGAAAGTGCTACGTCCCTATAAACTCTTGCGGAAAATGTAAGAGTGAGTGCTGCTTTGATTCACCAGTCCTTTTAGATACTGCTTTTAGTTTAACAGCTGACTGATGGCATTTCCATATTTTCTGCAAAGCAAAAAAAAAACCCAGTGACCTTAGCAAACTCCAGCATTAAAGTGCCTCAGTGTTTCCAGCAGCTCAGCCATTGTAGCTTTGATTTGTTCCTTGGCTAAACTGACCACCGCGTACTGTATTATGTTTATCTGCAGTTCAGTGATAAAGTTCCCTTAATTCCCCAGTGAATTGTAATATTTAGGGCAATGCCACAGCTGTGTTTATTCTCACACTCCACCACAGTTATGTAAATACTGCATATGGAACTGTTCCTGATAAAGCCCCTACCAACCCAAAGGAATTATATGTTAGCTCTAGATGGCTGCCAAGATGCACGGCATCTCTCCAGCTTGGCAATGCATATGAATGATATCACATTTTCTCAGAGATCGTTTGGCAAACCTTATAATGAAAGTGTAATTTTCTCTCTCCTCAAAGAGTTCCAACAACCAGGGAATATTTCCCGGCATCCCATTTTCCACTTGCAGAACATGGACTTGACACAAAACCTGAATCTTCCCAATGCCATGACCTTGAGAGTAAGAGCCCCAAACTTGCTCCCTCAGTGGATCCAGGCACTTTCTTTCACAGAGGATCACAAGTAGTTGAAAGCAAATGTTTGACAGACCATAATCATTCCACATGCGATAAGGCCTCCTTGGGCAGGAGGATTCATTATCTAAGAAATACCTTTTATCGAATCTCTTGAAAGCACTTCTCTCATCAGCGTTGGCTTAGGACCAGATCAGGCACTGATTTACACTTTGTGCCTGTGCCTTTTCCTGGGTCAGATTATGTATTCAGTGACTGATTAAAAGTGTGGAGTAAATCCCTTGAAGTTAATGATAAGCTGGAGCCAGAGGTATTCAAGACCATTGCACTGCGCTGATTTTGCACCAGCGTAGCCAAGAGCACAAATTCTAACTCTGACTTTGTAAACTTAAAAAGCACTCAAGGGCCAAACTTCTCAGGCCATTTCCTCCTTCTGTTGACTCGAGAAATGCACATGAAACAATGAGAAGTTTGTCCACTCCCAAGGGTAAAAATATAAGGTTGGCCTCTCTGTAGTAGAGACCTGTCAGTAGTGTGCTGCCAGTTTGGCTTTAATAAAAGGAATATCAATGGAACTGCAGAGCCTACAAGTAAGGAAAGGATGTGAGCCTACAAGTAAGGAAAGGATGTGTTCTGTGCGGGAATCATTCACATTAATGTGTGCTCATAGCGACCAATCTGTACAACACATCATGAGTTGCCTTTCTCTACCCAGAATGATACATTAAATATTTTTTTAAACCTTCACAGATATTAAGAAGCAGAACTTGTTCCATGTATTGCCAAAAAGCCTCTTATCTTCTTTCTCATCCTTTTCTTTCATGTTGTGGTTGTAATGGTGCTGAGTTTTGATAATGCGGAAATACACACTCCAGTCCTCTTCATCATGACTGGCTTCAGCACCAAAACAAGGGCAAAAGTGCTGCTTCAAGGAGCAGTGAGAACAGTTAAAACAGGAATGATTTCAGAGACACAGTGGGAACTTGATTTAATCCTAGAAATATGCTGCCGAAAACTTCTTTCAGACTAGAAACTGTTGTGTTTGGTGTGGTAAAAACACTGACCACAGCCTCCTGACCAGAACTGTGTCAGCAGAAGGGATGTATCAGTGCTAGTGGAAAAAAAAAATCAGTCAATTTGAAAGCATGAAGCTTCTGCAATTCATGCTGAATCTGTGCTAAGCAAACAGCAAGTGACTACAGAGAGGTCATAGTGGTA